CCTACTGCCCCCCCCCACCGGCCTGCTTGGCCAAACTGACACCCCCCTGCTGGCCTGCTCACCCCCAACTGCCCCCCCTTGCTGGCCTGATTGCACCCAACTGTCTCGCTGCAGGCCTGCTCACCCCCAATTGCCCCCCTGCCGGCCTGCTCGCCACCAACTGGTCCCCCCCGTTGGCCTGCTCACCCTTAACTGGCCACCCCTGCTGACCTGCTCACCCCCAACTTCCCCCACCACTGGCCTGATCACCTCCAACTGCCCTCCCCTCCTGGCCTGATCGCTCCTAGCCCCGCTCTCCGGCCAGGCTTGGCTTCCAGCCGGCTCTCTGGCTGGCTCCGTGGCTCCAGCCAGCACTGCCATCTTTGTCACATCAATTTGCATATTCCCTCCTTATTGGCTGTGGGCGCCACCATATTTATCACAATGTGATGGTTAATTTGCATATTACTCTTTTATTAGATAGGATAACATATCCCAAATATCATACAGATATTCAAATCTACATTAAAAAATTAAGGAGACATTTTATATCCTTTCTGTACAAGGTCTTCGAAACTGGATGTGTTTTACACTTGTATATCTGAATGTGCACTAGCCACATTTCAAGTGCTCAGTGGCCACATGCAGCTAGTTTTGGATGACGCAGCTTTAGATTTTGCAGACTTGGGTCAGACACCAGTCCATAGTATCACACCCTCCTCTCCCCCAAGCCACTGAAGACATGTGACACTCTAAATCAGGGGTGGGGAACCTTTTCACTGCCAAGGGCCATTTGAATATTTATAACATCACTCTGGGGCCATACAAAATTATCAACTTAAAAATTAGCCTGCTTGCCCTAGCCGGTTTGGCTCAGGGGATAGAGAGTTGGCCTGCGGACTGAAGAGTCCTGGGTTCAATTCTAGTCAAGAGCACATGTCAGGGTTGCAGGCTCAATCCCCTGTAGGGGATGTGCAGGAGACAGCCAATCAATGATTCTCTCTCATCCTTGATGTTTCTATTTCTCTCTCCCTCTCACAATTCAATACAAATATATTAATAATAATAGTTAAAAAAAGAAACCCTCCTTCAATCTCCAACAATGGACCTTTTAACACTTGCATGGGTGAGGTTAAGAGCCACAAACAGGTTTTCTCTCACTTCTTTTTATGCAACTCTGGTTCCTCACTTTACACTGTATCTATATTGTTTTGGGGCCTTAGCCAATACTTCTACTTTTACATTTTGTTACCTGAATATTTCAATCATGTTTCAAGTTCTTAAAGTTTCTGGCAATTTATTTTTGGCTATAATGTGATGGCTTTCAACAGTAATAAATAACTTTTAACACGTTACACATTTCATTTTAATCTTACAAAGTCATAATTAGCTTTATTAATCTTCCCAAATACTCAAAATACCACTAAAAAGCACAAGCAACTATAGGCAATGTATGATTATAAACACATAAAATAAAAAGCACTGATGCAAGGGGAAAAGAGACTAAGAAAAGGGAACATTTACCAATGGCTGTAGTTTGAAAGAGTCCCTGAGTTTTGTTTGTTTGTTTCTGGTAGTAATTTTTTTGTAGTAATTATAAGATAACAAAACTGGTTGGTTCCTACCTACACTTTTAATTCTTTTATAGCACTTACCTATTAAGGCTGTGGTAAATCGATTCATGGAGAGAGGTTCTAAATACATCGGTCCTTCATAGGCAGACTCCAGTTCACTTCGAACATAGTCCCTATAAAAGTAAAATGGTAAGAATGGATTAGATACATCCCAAGTGCAGATGGTAGACAGAAGCAGCTAAAGCACAGAATTCTTATAAAAAGCATATTCTCCTCTTAGTAACTCCTCTTTCCACTTCTAAGGAAAAAAATTAGGTATAATGACTTATACAGGAATGGCCTTCATCTCCTTCTTCCAAGCACTGAAACAGAATTTACAGAAACGGGAGTTTATTATGCAGAGACGACAAGCGAAACTCCATTGTGTTTTCTTTCTTCCCATTACTTTATTAAATAATTTACACCCAGTAAAAAGCCAGTTGAGGCATCATTTCTCTACCCTACTACTTAATAATATCCAACAATATTACATTAACTATTTCCTTTTTTGGCTCTCTTCCTCCATCCACCCTGTCTTATTTTCCCCAAAGTTTTGTCCCCAGTTATACTTAATTAATCACAGGTAAATCCTCAAACTAGTTAGGAAACTGTCTCATAAGAGGATAACCCTTTAAAAAAATGCCACTTTCAACTCTCTAGGGAATTTAAGTAGTCTATACATTTATTTTGAAACAAATCTTAAACCAAATCAAATATCCCTTTTTAAATTTAATTCATTTAACACGTGATTACTAAGAAACAACATGATTTAAGTAGTAGCCAAGAAGCCTTTATACTCTGAGAAAACAACTCTTAGGGCATAGGTGGGAAGCACAGAAGGGGATAATTTAATTTATTAATCAGTAAGTTAAATGTTAACACTAGAAAGTGGTTGTTTAAGTTTTATGACATCAAAGTGGGGAAATTTGTTTAAATATCCTTCCTCTTTTCTTCAATTGATGAATGCTTTATTCACTGTGTTTCAAAACAATTTGAATGTGGCAGGTATTTCTGAACAAACTCATATGGCTGTATTTACTTTTTCCATGAAATTACTTCCTATTAGGCAATCATGTTGAATTCCTTTAGCATACCACAGCCAAAAACAAGAAATGATCCTTACAAAATCAGCAAGGAGAGTATTGCCCAAAATCAAATTTAAAAACTCAAATGACATTGTTAAGAATAGGAGCAGTTTAGGGAACAATCCTAAGCTTCAATTCTCCTCTATCACTCTATGAAAACCACAGAACTGCCACCCACAGCAAAGAATGGCCCAGCTCAAAATGTTAATGGCCCCCAGATAGAGAAACCCTCATCTACAGCTTAGAATTATATAAGCTTTCATAAGATGGAGAGCTAGCTGGTTACCTGTATTTTACACAGGTAACTCCTGGGAAATTTTTACATTTGAAACCATACTTATATACCCAAGACAGACCAGTATGAAAAAAGTATACTTTCATCTTTTAAAAGGACAGCCTCTTAATTCAGGCCATACATGAAAACTGGTATGTTTTTTCAAAAATCTAGCAATTAAGCAAGAACTTTTAAGAAAACTAGAATTTAAAAATTTTAGAAAAAAACAAAGAACTGTGGATCTGAACCATGAGCACACTGAATGGTGATGTCAATTGAAGTTTTCTTTTTCCCTTTTATTTCTGGATAGTCTCAATATTACAGGATTGTTACTTGAAAATACATTCCATACATCACTCAAAATTAAGAGTATAGTTTAGTGATTCTAAGAATTTTATCAAATTCTAATGAGTTCAATTAGAATATTAATATTAAATGTTTATACTATACCACCTGAGCCCCTGGATCTTCTAGTTTAAATTTTCTGAACTATAAGCCATATCCATTCCACAGACATATTCTAAACAGATTTTTTTATTCACTTAAGGATAATCAGCTTCATTATGTGAGTACATGTATTTAGGGAAAACAGAGATCCAGTTTCTCAAGAGTTTAGGAAATTTTCAATTTAAGAAATTAATATTTGCAAATGTCTTTATGTATAACCAGTTTTTGAAGTACCAAATTAATTATTTAAATTATCCAAGTAGTGTGACTCTTCTTCTCAGGAATATATTATACTCTACCTTGATATAAGTAGACTGGAGTAATGGTGGAAATATTTGTAAATCATATAATGAATAAGGAACTTGTATCTAGGACATGGGAAAATATCCTACAACTCAATTTTTAAAAAGATAATCCCATTCAATAATGGACAAAAGGATATCAATAAACATTTTTCCAAAGAAGATTCACATAAAAAGATGCTAAACCTCACTGGACATCAAGAAAATGCAAATCAAAACCCCAATGAAATATCACTTCGTATTAACTACGATGTCTATACTAAAAAAAAAACAGCCACCAACAAGTGTTGGCAATGATATGGAGAAATTGGAATCCTCATACTATGATGTCTATACTAAAACAGACAGACATATCAACAAGTGTTGGCAAAGATATGAGAAACTGAAACCCTCATACACTGCTGGTAGAAACATAAAATAGTGCAGCCACTTCAGAAATAGTCTGATAGTTCCTCAAAAAGTTAAATTATCATATGATCTACAAATTCCACTCCAAGGAAAAAAAGTATCACCACACAAACACCACAAATGTTTACAGCATTAGTCATAATAGCCAAATATCCATCAATGAATGAGTGGACAAACAAAATGTGGTCTATTCATAAAATAGAATATGATTTGGACAGAAAAATAAAGTGATACATGCTACACTATGGATGAACCTTGAAAATATGCTAAGTGCAAAAACCCAGGCACAAAGAACCACATATGTACAATTCAATATATACGAAACATCTAGAATTGGCCAATCCAAAGCGATAGAAAACAGACTTCACACAGTTGCCCTAGTGCTGGCAGGACGAGGGGGGTATGGGGAAGAGAATGAGAAGTGACTGCTGGGTACAGGGTTTCTTTCTGTAGTGATGAAAATGTTCTAAAATCAATTGTGGTGATGGTTTGCAATTCTGTGAATGTTCTAAAATCCATGAAACCGTCTACTTTAAATAGGTATGTGAATTACATTTCAATAAAGCTGTTATTTTTTTAAAGACACTTGGTTATAAAACTGCCACATGAAATCTGAACCAGTTTTTTAAACAAACTAAAAACTTCAGCCTTAATGATTTATACATGTGATACATTATGAATAAGAATAACACATCTTTGCAAATCTTTTGTGAGATAGCATCATGTAGGGTAAATTATACTGAGGATAAATACTAAAATATGTCATATCTTGAAATTTGTTAAGATCCAAACTAACTCTGTAAGATGGATGAGTCTTACTTTAGTTTCAAAGAAGCAACTTGCCAAGGTAACATAGTATTCACTCAGTAGTAAGACTATTTCATACCCAGTCTGATTCTAAAACTAATTTTCTTTCTACTAACCATCCTGTCTCCCTAAGAGAACTAAGAATCAGAAAACCTGAAGTCAAGTTAAAGTCTGAATCGTCCCTTCAGGTTTTTTTTATCTGTAAATCTAAACGAATTATAATAAGGATCAAAATGAAATCAAGAACAGGAAATATTTTTGTATACTGTAAAACTATTTTATTGTTTAAAGTAAGTTTAAATTTTCTAATAATGAAAACAAACTTTAAACATCAGAAAAAAGCATTACTTCAGAAACTAAAACTAAAAAGTTGAAATTGCCACAAAAATAATTAGAAAAAGGCTTTTCTTACAGCTGACCCTTTTATCTTTACCTAACAGAATTGTGACCTCTCTAAAAAAGCCAGGATGGCAATGCCGTAGATAAAAATAGAGCTACATGATTTCAGCATCACTACACCACAAACCACATGAAAACTGAAAAACCATGAGAGAAAGGGCAGGTTCATTGTTTTCTTTTTTTACACAGAATTATAGCTAGCAAAGCAGTAATTTTTTAATATATATTTTTATTGATTCAGAGAGGAAGGGAGAAATAGAAACATCAATGATGAGAGAGAATCACTGATTGGCTGCCTCCTGCACACCCGACATATGCCCTGACTGGGATCGAACCGTGACCTCCTGGTTCATAGGTCAACGCTCAATCACTGAGCCATGCCAGCCAGGCCAAAGCAATAATTTTAATAGCTCTACCTTCAACTTTGAGATTCCTCTGATTAATCATCAAAATCCTATTAACTTTCTTGTTCAATCCCTCCACCCCCACCAATATTCCCCCTACCAGTGCTGTCTGCCTGTTTTTCTATCTATGAGTCTATCTCTATTTTGTTTCATAGCTCAGTTTGTTCGTTAAATTCCATGAGTGAAATCATATGGTACTCTATAAATGGTCCTGGAAAAAATAAAATAGAAAAGAAAAAGTCCTATTAACTTTTAAAAGCTATCATGCCCTGGTTGGTGTTCTCAGTGGTTAGAGCATCATCCTGTGCACCAAAGGGCCATAGGCTCGATTCCCAGTCAGGGCACATACTTAGGTTACAGGTTAGGTCCCTGGTTGGGGTTGGGGCACCTGGGTGAGGCAACCCATTGATATTTCTTTCTATCTCCCTCTCCCTTCTTCCTTTCTCTCTCTAGAATCAATGAAAAACATATCCTTGGGTGAAGTTTTTTTTTTAACATAAAAAGCTATCATTAGCTATAGTATGAAATATTCTGCCATTTCAAAATCATTTCTTAAGAACTAACAACATAGGAAAATGCTCATAAAACAATGCTGTCTAATAAAAATACTTAAGAATGTCAGGTAAAATTCACTAAGCACTTATTATATGTCAGAAACTGGGCTAAGAGTTTTACGTGCTTTACAATAGTTCTTAAGATATTATCACCATTTTACAAGTGAGGAAAACTGAGACCTATCTTTCTGTTAAGTGACACTAAGGTTACGGATTAGTAAATAAGGACCGTGAAATTTGAACCTATGAAATCACCTATCCATTTATCCAAAAGATGTGGTTCTCTTAGGTGCCCGGACACTCATTTATACCCTAAAAGGGTGACATACTGCATTTTACTCTACAGACACAATTGCTGTTTACTCTGAGTGTGAGCTGAGATTCCGGTGTCTGGGTAAGGCCATAGGAAGAAACTGTGTCCAGGTTTGGGGGCAGGTATTGGAATGGGAAGGCCAGCATATTGTGTGTGTCAGCACTGGCCCTTGGACCTATGGAGAAAACAATGCTACAAGAGAAGGCCCAAGTTATTCCCACAATGGAGCCTAAGACACAGGGACATACTTGTGTGACACCAAATTAGAAAAGTCATTGTCTCTACTTGCGAGTAAAACACAGCTTGACTTGAATCACTGTGAGGATGACAAGAAATGCAGCACTACTCTGGCAGCTCCAGATTTTGCAACTTTGACATGTGAGGACATACCCTAGGCAAGACAAGAGTAATTCCCCACCCTCCAGGTACCTTTTGGAGCAGAGGAAATCAATCAGACAGAAACAGAGAAGAGGAATGTGAGAAGACTGGTTTCTGGGAAACACTCTGGAGCCTCTGAGAATTAACTAGATGAAATATTAAGGAAGATGAAGCAGGACCTTTCCTGCTTCAACAAGAAGAGCCAAGAGTCAGTGACTTTTAATTATTTTCACTTTTTCCTATCCAATGCAGTGGTGAAAACTGACAGGTATTTAAAAAAATGGAAGGACATACCAGAATTTTAACAGGTCTATCTCTGGGTGGCATAATTTCAGGTGATTATTACTGTCTTTAAATGTTCTGTTTCTCAAAAATTGTCTAAGGTGAGTAGTACTATGTTATTTTATAATCGGGGGGATTATAAAATAACATAGTACCATTAAGTCAACCATTCAATTCTAGTCATATAAAAATGCTATTTCCAACATTAAATTTCAAGCCTACACCAAAATCTGTTTCAGACCTCTAGGCAATTATATCTTGTTATATATGCAAAGTAGCTGTCACTCTACTTAGACTAGGGAGTATATTTTATACATTTCAATCAAAACAGAAAAAATAATACTCCAAAATGTATTCTACCCTATTATATTTACTGTGTGGATTTTGGTTCACCTGTATTTCAACATTCTGTTCCAAAGTAGGACACTCATATTTATTGGTCTTAAGTTTTAGGGCTAGTAGACCTAGGCAAACAGACACTCTTGCTAAAGAGGTAGAGTTCTGAGCTATACAATTAACCCCATCAAATAATTTATATCAATCATCCACTATGTACATGGTTGCATCTTATACTGATTCTCATGCAACATAAACTGACTTCCTAAAATAATAAAAGTAATGAAGTCTGTAACTGTTAAAGTGGTCCTATAGCCTGTCTTTGGAAATTCTTTCCTCAGATAATACAGAAAAGCTCATGGGTATCACTGTAAACATAAGCTTAAGGCCCATTTTATATAAGACTAGAGGCACGGTGCAGGACATTCGTGCGGGGGGGGGGGGGAGGGGAGTATCCCTCAGCCCGGCCTCTGTGGAGCGGGCCTAAGCTGGCAGTTGGACATCCCCCAAGGGGTCCTTAGCGCTGCTGCGGAGGCAGGAGAGGCTCCCGCCACCGCTGCTGCGCTCGCAGCTGTGAGCCCAGCTTCTGGCTGAGCAGCGCTCCCCCTATGGGAGCACACTGACCACCAGGGGGCAGCTCCTGCATTGAGCGTCGTTCTGCCATTTGGTCGATTTGCATATTAGCCTTTTATTATATAGGATTGTTTTTAAAAGCAAAAATAAAATTTGAGACATAACCCCAGCTATTAATCCTGTATGCTAATATTTATTTAGAAAACAAGTATAAAAAAAAAACAGCTTTGGATACCTACCAAAGCCTCAGCTTCTTAACTATGTTCATGAAAATAATTTTTTGGTAAAGAAAAACTTGAAATTCAGTCATTCATTTCAAAAATGGGGTCACATTCTTACCTGGAGATTTGATGTCCAGCATAGAGGAGAAGGGCAGTCAAAAAATATAGGTAAAGCTGAACCAGGTATTGCCTGGGCAAGGTTAGTAGCACAACACTTAAGATATAACCTGTAGTAAAAATTAAGAGAAATATAAATAAAATACGGTTCTAATTTAGTCTCCCAATTAATTACACCAATAAAGACAGATTGAAGTAAATTACTTTCCAATTAGGTTTCAACAACTTAAGGTTTTTTTTTTACTACACTACCAAAGTAAGTTCAGCACAGTAAAATCACTGCAGATTTTTTTGTTGAAGATGTAAAGCAATTTTCACTTCTTTTGTAGATGTTTGTACTTTATAATTGGACACATCACACAAAGGCACAGTGGACTCCTCTCATCATCTACCCTTCCTGACGTCCACTCACTGATTCTACACCAAGGCTCCCATTCTCTAGTCCCAGAGGAAGAACTGGGCACCTTCCTGTCCCTCGAAGGCTTCCCCTTCCATTCCACTTAAGATCTTATTTTTCCAACTCCTAAAGACCTCTACCTTCTTCATCTCTGATCATTCCCCTGATATCAGTCCTTACCTCTCTTTTCAAACAATGTGCAGGACTCTTTCCCAAGTCCTGAGGAAAATTTCTCTTCACACTAATTTCTCCTTTTTCTATTGCCTATTTTTCTAATTCCACTGACAAATGTTATAAACTATGTGTATCAGTGTCTCTATTTTCTCTTTTTTTTAATGTTTTTTATTAATTTTAGAGAAAGCAGAAGGGAGAGAGATAGAGAGATAGAAACATTGATGAGAGAGAGAAACATGGTCAGCTGCCTTCTACATGCCCCCTACTGGGGACCGAGCCCACCAACCGCGCATATGCCCTGACCTGGAATCCAACTGGGGACCGGTAGGTTCATGGGTTGATGCTAAACCACTGAGCCACACCAGCCGAGCAAGTGTCTCTATTTTCTAACCATCTATTATTCCCTCTTTATATTCAACAATCTACACATCCTCTACCAACCCCCGCTTCCACTCTAAAGAAGAAAACCTGTGTATCTTTGTCCCAGCATCTAAGGTAACTACTCTCAAAATTGTTATTCTTTGACTCTGTGACATGAATTTCCTTTTACCCTCTAAATCCTCCCCTCCACTTTCTTTTCACCCTCTCAAATGAACATAGAAAATTTAGTCTCTGAACAACTGCTTTTCTCTGAATAAAACATGTAGCTCCAATAATCAATTTTGTTGCTTCAAATATACCATTCTAGATGTATGGTATCAATAGTTACTCGGAACCTATTATATAAGCAAAAAAACCTTAATCCTTTCTTTTCTAAGTAAAAAACTTAATCATTTCTTTTTTAAATGTATGTTTTATTGTTGATAGTATTACAGATATCTTCCATTTTCTCCCTCTTTACCCCCCTCCTCCAAAGCTTAATCATTTCTTATTCTAAGTAGACATCTCATAGCACATGATGGCTGGTCATATTCCAGTAAGATGTTCTCATATACAACAAGTACAAACTGAGCTCCTGACTCTTCCTCAACAAGCTAGCTCACCCTCTTTCCCTCTCCTAAATCCCATTCACGCTGACTCAAATCTGAGTCATCTTTTCTCCTGTTACCAAGTCCTGCTGAGTCTTTCTCAATAAGTCTGTCACATGTTATCCTTACTTTCCAGTCCGTATGCGTCCATCCTAATTCACTCTGTAATATATAAGTATACGAATTACTATTCTTCTTTCAGTCTCCTTTCATCTTCATATATCCTATATTTCATTATCAGGGTAATATTCTCAAAACCATCACTTTCATCTAGGCAACTCGCTTGTTCTAAAACTTTAAAGTTCTAAACTTCTCAGTCTGATATTCTAGGTCTTGCAAAACCTGGTTAATCTACTCTCCTGTCACTATTTTCCACTTATTAATGAGTCTTTATTAGGGCACAAATATCCCTTCTTAGCACCTAATGCCTCTCTCAGGCTGACTCAACCACCATGCTTAAAGCAAGGAAAACAGGTGAGGTGTGCTAAGGGACTAAAGAGGTAGAATTCAGATTTCACATGCATCCTAGAACAATCCAGCAGAAGCCAGAGACAAGTATTTCCATTCGCTTTTCATTTCTGAAAATAATTGCCCCAATTTATCTTATTAATCATTATCTCAAAGGACTTTAGAGTTATTTTAAAGGATATTTATTATATTTAACAAGCATTTTTAGTATTTGTGGCTGAAGAATTTTTCTTATCAGTCTATGGCATAAAACTTCTCCTTAAATTCTTTTAATAAACTATCCTTTTCCTTTCCATATATTATCTTTCTCTTCCCCTGCGCATCTCATAAAATCAGCTGCCAAATCCTCTAGATTGAACATGTTCATTTAATTCATTCTTTAAATTATCCAGTCACTCCACCAACATTATTACATGTAAAGTATGACCCATAAGTATTCCCAGACATGGAAGATCCAAAGGAGAATAAAATAATCAGTCTAATGAAATATAAACGTGGACAAAGGTATGATACAATATTGTTGCTGTAATAAGCAAACATTAGAAAGGCTATGGTTGATTAACTGATTAAGTTTGATCTGGACCTCAAAGGGTGAATGAATCTTTCTACCAGGCGAAAGAAAGGAAAAATATTCTAGGAAAAGAGAATAGCCAGAATGAAAACGATAAAATCACAAAGAGTGTTTTCAGGAGACAGTCAATTCTGTAAGCTAGATTAAAATTTGGTGTTAATAAAAAGAACATTGGGAGAGTATTGGGGGATAGTGCTGACAGAACTGGTGGCAAAAGCCTCAATATAAAGCCTTGTATATGACAATAAGGAGTTTACATTGAACTAATGGTTCTCAAACCCTTTAGAGACCCATTAGGTTAGGCAAGAAAACAAACAAAACAAAAAACAAACCAAAAAAAAGAACAAACACCCCCATTTTCAAATTCCAGTGGAAAAATAACTCTGTGATAATAACATACTGCACAAGATTTTTGAGAGATTATGAATACTTTTGCAAAAATGAGAGTAGTATGAATAAAACTTTTGAACTAAGACTAGATAATTCTAAAGTTCATAAAGAAAACTAACAACAGAAAAACTCAGAGGGAGAAATAAAAAGCAATGAAGGGACTAACTCTATCAGACAATGAAATATAGTCTAAACCCTCAATAATGAGATAGACAAACTAAAAGGAGAGGCTCAGTTGGTTGGAGCTTCGTCCCATACACCAAAAGGTTTCGGGTTTGATTCCCCGTCAGTGCATACAATAGACAACTGATGAATGTATATTTGTTTGTTTGTTTTTGTTTGTTTGTTTCTTTCCTCTCTCTTTCCCTCTTTCTCTCTCTCTCTCTCTCTCTCTCTCTCTCTCTCACTTTTTCCTTTCCTCTCTTTTTCTAAAATCAATAAACATATCCTTGGATGAGGCTTAAAAAGAAAAAAAAGACAGGAAAAAAGTTCAGAAACAGAACAAAATGTATGTGATAATATAGTATATTAGTATGCTATATAAGTATATATAATTTAGTATATAATAATCAGGAAAACTGTTTAATAAATACATGGAGACTACCAGACAGTTATCTGGGGAAAAAATTATACCTGTAACACACTATGTATGCATAAAAACTCGGAAAAGCTTTTCTAATTGATTCAAAATTATAAAGTTACAAAAGAAGAAACAATAAATTCAATCACACTAAAAACAAATTCTGCATGCCAAAAAATATCAAGCATAATTAAGAGAACTGAAACTGGGAAACATAATTTCAAAGGGTAAATTTCTCCCACAAATTGTTAAAAAAAAAAAAAAGGCTAACAATATCATAGAAAAGTGGGCAAAGGACATTAACTGACAACTCTCCCAAGAGGAAATAACACTTTTTTCTTAAATGTAAATAAATTAAATCTCACTCATAATAAGAGAAAAATTAAAACTACATTTAAAAACATCCCTTTTTTCACATACTGAAATAGCTAAATATGAAAGTTTGATAACAATGTTTTGAAAAGGATGTAGGACTGCAGGAACTCTCAACCATTGCTCCTGGAGGTACAAAATAGTAAAACCCTATGGAGAGTGCTATATTACAAACATAATATGGTGAGTGCATACGGGAGACAAACGTATGCACTCTTTAATCCAGCAATTTCACTTCTAGTAATTTATCCCAACAATATATTTGTACCCGATGAAATTATGGTTATACCAAATTATTTAGTACAATACTTAATGGAATAGAAGACAGGCTCTACCTAAAATGTCCATTAATAGAGCAGTTAGTTCAATAGATTATGGTATAGCCATATAAGGACACTATGCTAGTATGAAACAGTTATTCGATTGGGGCGAGAGTGAGGACTCAACATTATCTCAGAATCTTTTGATTTGGCAGAACAGAATACAAAGCTTTATTTCATGAATATCTAAAAGCAGTAGTTATGGTTCTGATTTGTCATTAAGTTAAAACAAACAAAAGGTTCAGAATAGTGTGCAATATACTATCAGTACAAAAAAAGGGAAATACATACACTTAAACTTTTATATTTACACTTATATATCAACATATATATATATATATATATACACAAAAATATCTCTAGGATTATACACAAAGAAATAAAAATAGCTGCTTGTGCCCTAACCGGTTTGGCTCAGTGGATAGAGCATCGGCCTTCGGACTGAAGGATTCCAGGTTCAATTCCGGTCAAGGGCATGTACCTTGGTTGCGGGCACATCCCCAGGAGGGGGTGTGCAGGAGGCAGCTGATCAATGTTTCTCTCTCATCGATGTTTCTAACACTCTATCCCTCTCCCTTCCTCTCTGTAAAAAATCAATAAAATATATATTTTTTTTAAAAAAATAGCTGCTTGTTCGGGCTCAGAGTGAGAACTTAATGAACGAGGAACAGATATAGGGGGAGATACTTTTCACTGTATACTTTTTATGCTTGTTGATTTTTGAACATAAATACATTACAGTGTGTTTAAGGAGGAAATTTCTATAATAAGAACATTACATAAGCACTACATAATACTTTGACACAGAGGTTTCTACAACCAAAAAACTATTCAAGCTGAAATGATCTACTATGTAATCACTGAGCTTACTCTACCATAGCATATACTAAGTGTATTTAAGAAGGCTGAGTTACATTCACAAAGTTATGTCAGTGGTCATGAATGGCAACTGTACTAGAACACATTCAATTTCTAAAATTAATGTTTCTGGTTACTAAGTGGCTATTTTTATAATAAATATTTAAATCTATTAAGAAATAATATACATGATAAGCACATTTTTTTAAACCACCCTGTAAATTATTTGCTGATTAAGCTAAACATCTAAGCCAAGTACTCAATTGTTCTACTAAAACAGACTGGAATTATTTTCCATAAATTGGCTAACCTACAAAGCCTTTAATAAAGGGCTGAGAATTATAGTGTTTTACAGCATAAAAGAATCTTCTCATGTCACAGACTTTCCCAATGTAGTGCTACCTAAGAGAGACAGTTTATTGTATTCAGATGTTCTGATTCCAGTACACACTGTCTTTTCTATTAGATCTTATTTCTTCCCACAAAGACTTACTTGGTAATAATCTCTTAGAGCTGGAAGGGGTTCTCAGGGCTAGGCTTTGGAACCCAAGAAGTCTTTCAATAGATAAAAATAAATCTCAGAGAAAGGACAATCCTTCACAATTTTATAAAAGATAAACTTGTTGATGGGCAATTCTAATAAAAAATATTAACAAAACTACTATAGTACATCATTCAAACCATGTATTGAGTTATGCAATAGCAATGTTAAATAAAATATATTGTTGCTATCATTTCATGTAAACCAAAATTTAACCAAAAAATTGAGAGTCATGACTTTTAATGTAGATGAATTTTATGTTTCCTGAAAGTATTTCTTGACTTTAATTTCTTTAACCCCCTCAACATTACTTTCATAACTAACTCCAAATCATATCAATTATATTTCAAGGAGTATTTTAAAAGAAAATATTATTATATCATTTCCCACCTTTCATTTAACTGAAATGAAGGCTTTAATTTTCAACTGATATTAATCTTTTGGAACAATAAAGAATAATGCATTTTAAGAAGCTTACTTTCTGAATTACTACCAAAACCACAAATAATCACAAATTAAAACAAGCTAAATGTCTAGAAAAGTATTCTTCATTATTTAATCATATTAAAATCTAAAATGTTTTATTCTGCCTCTACTTTCATCCAGTAAAATAAATGCAACTGTTTTCCTCTACCCCTAATAATCCATATGCAATAGTCAGACTATAAACAAGATTTATAAATGTTTATCATGGCTCACTAAAAGATGACAAAAGGTGATGCAGATACTTACCTACATAATGCATATTAAGAGCCAAATACTTATATTGGAAAAGAGGGTTGTTATTGAGGCTACTTCTTTGGATCTGCTGGAAGAAGGAGCTGACATCCCATCTGTACAGGACATCCAACAGCATGATGCTTGGCACCCTCAGGGCCACATTTAACACTGCCTCCATTTTCTCCTTTGCAGCCATGTTTTTTCTTGGAGCAGACCTAAAATTCAAGAGACACATTATAAAAAACAAGTCACCTCAAATAGCTTTTAGATATCTTCTTGTGACTCTAGCGGATTTTCACTGTATTGGAATGTATGAAACTTCCTAGCCACATTAAGATTCTGATGAAATGTTCATCAGGCCTCCACATTTATTTTTAAAAAGCCCCTAATTCCAAATCTAGGAACTTAGCAACAAAATACCCTAAAAGAATATTGCAGCTTTTGTCCAATTAATTTGCGATGAAAAATTCACTCCTATTTAATTACTTGAGATGTATATAGCTCTTAAATGAGGGAAAACATTAAATATTAATAAATGTTAAAAACCTAAGCAATTAAATAAAAATTTGATAATTATATAGTTTGCAGCATCTCAAAGTCTTTTCCTTATCACTTACAATCAAAACAGAAGTACTGAATTTACATGCTATAGATAAAATCCAGAGAACTGGTGATATGTACTTGTAAAGGAACCATTGTTTGCAATACTTTTCCCTGAATTATTAGAGTTAAACTCTTAATCTGAAATTTCCATCATTTGCCTTCAAGGTAGGAAAATAATTTAGATTCTTCCTATGATACACAGACATGCTGGCACATGAAAGAAGTCAGGCACCGTGTGAGTCTGCAGCCCTGACTTGACTGAATTGTGATGAGTAGTAGAGTGAAGGGGGAAAAAGAAGGAAATTAAGGACCTCCTGGACAAATCTATTTAAAAGGACAATTCAGTGGAATACAGCTTTATATAACTGAGCTGCAAATTAACCCAAGGAATTATAAGAAAGAGAATAGGACAAACAAAGGTGGGTAAAGGACAATTTTAAGATAATTCTGAATTGTTGGCTCTGACAATATCCTTTTAAGAATTTTGCTGAGAAAGCTAAACACATGTCTAGCTTTGGCAGTGATTTCAGGCAAAGGAAAACATTTATTTCTGAAGAAAATTGTAGTGACAGATTGCTATGCTATAGTTAAATATTTGTCAGTATTTCCATTTTACCCTCTAATTTTCATTGCTTCCAAGCTCAGATAGTTGTTTTTTGTGTTGTTTTGTTTTAAAAGGGGGGGCAGCTCAACTTGGCACACTGTTATTATAAGTTTTTCAAGCATGGAAAAACTGATAATTTCATTGATTGTTGACTGGTCACATATCATTCCTATTGCCCACATGTTATATATCAGTGATGGCGAACCTATGACACGTGTGTCAGAGGTGACACGCGAACTCATTTTTTTGGTTGATTTTTCTTTGTTAAATGGCATTTAAATATATAAAATAAATATCAAATATAAGTCTTTGTTTTACTATAGTTGCAAATATCAAAAAATTTCTGTATGTGACACGGCACCAGAGTTAAGTTAGGGTTTTTCAAAATGCTGACACGCTGAGCTCAAAAGGTTCGCCATCACTGTTATATATACATATATCCTATCAATAATGCATAATTAACATTTTTATAAATACTGAAATTCTAATTCCTTTAAATGAACAAGACTACTTTAATAATTTTCCTACATAAGAAAAAATAATGTGAATTCAAATCAAATAGGTGGACCTAAGGGGGAAAAAGCACTGAAAAATAAAATCTCAAATCAACGTTTATTGCAAATAACACCATTCAGGATCCTAAGTTTCTCAAAGCTCATATTTAAGAAAGAAAAAAAAAAAGCCTGGGAAGAAATATACCAAAATATTCACATTAACATCCTTTCAACAGTGGCGCTGGGGTAATTTTTATTTTCTTCTTTCTACCTTTTCCTGTTTGCCAAATGTTTTAGACTATCCATGTGTTATTTGGAAGGTGAGGAGAAGCACTTAAAAAAAGAACAATTCTTGGTAAAAAGTATAATGTGCTTGTGCCAACTACGTAAGAATATATACAGGAGCCCTGCCAGTGTGGCTCAGTTGGTTGGAGCGTGGTCCCAAGCACCCAAAGGGTCTTGGGTTTGATTCCCAGTCAGGGCACATCCTGAGAGATCAACGTTTCTCTCTCTCTCTAAAATCAATGTAAGCCTATCCTCAGGTGAGGATTTCAAAAAATACACACACACACACACACACACACACACACACACACAAACACACAGGAAATAACAGTTCATTCTGGTGGTTAAACTGATAACTCAATGTGCTCTTGGGAGTTTAGCTGTTTTTCCATATTCTAAAATCCAATATAAATCACTACTCCTTTTTTAAGCAACAACAATATAAAAGAAAATATTTACTGAGTTAATATTTGTGGTCCATATTTACTTCATCTGATTTGGAGCCTTCCTCTTTTTAATGTTATTTTTAAATGCACCCACTTTCATCCTTCACTGTAGTTCTTACGGAGTAGAGAAAAAACTTGAAACAAATAACCAATCCTGCATTAGAAATCAAGATCTGAACTGTTCGGTGGGGAAGACCTCCCTAATTCTGACAAAGAATCATCTCTATTACAAAAGACTATTAGCACAATGGTGCACATTCCCTTGTATTTACCTCTACTCCTGTCTCACAAACAGAACAAGAATAAAAAGAAAATCATGGATCCCTAAAGCTGTCAGTACAGAAGAATATTCAAGGCAGAGCCCTAAACTCTATATATAGTAAACTCAAGAGTCTAAATTAAGAAGGACCTTGGATAGAACGAAATATGTCCATTTAATAACAAATCTATTGCTTATTAAACTTTTCATTTATTTCTGTATGTGAATGCCATGTGTAGGGATGTGGAGGAAACAAAGTTAATACATGAAAAACCAAATCTAAAATGTTACCCACAAAAGATATGGGAGGGGAAAAAAACATTTTCTCTAAATATTAATAATTTCTAATTTTTCTAATGTAGAAATGCCATATGATAAGAGCGGTGATCTGCACAAATAAATACCATACACTACACTATGGCACCATAAACTAAATCAACACCTAAACAAAATGTTGAAATATTGATTTGATTTGCAGATACCTGAAATCACTCACAACTGCCAAATCAGTGATTACAAGCATGCAGTAAAAATAGACCTTCTCTCCTAGAGTAAAGAGATGATTATACCTTTATGATGTTTGGTTCAAGCCTAATTTATCTTTTCCTTAGACTTGTCGGATAGATCTCATGAGCATATACTAAGTCAGAGTGCCTCAAAATTCTCTTAAAACCAAAACAAAACCAAATAATTCTCAAAAATAAGGAGGAAAACTAAAGGCAAAGAAAATTGAAAGGCTCAAGACTCCTAAAGCCAAACATATAAGCTACTTCCAGCCCAGTTCAGTTACATACATTTTACTTTCAATGAAAGATTTTAAAATTTCCTCCTTGAACTATGAAAAGAATTGAAAAAGTAATACTCCAACACACTGTCTCAGCAAGTAACATAAACTAAATGTGACTAAAATTTAAAGATGCTTTACCCAGTGAAATAGCTTTAAACAAACAATTAAAAAAACAAAACAAAAAAACCTCTCTGTCCAATAATGGGGGAAAAAGGTTCAACAAATGTTAACCAAAAACAGGACCACAATGATTTCATTAAATGACTTTCCCAGGCTTGGAAGCAGTAATCACTACTTACAAACACAGTAATGTCTGCACAAGTATAACGTTGCATGGTTCGCCATTCATATTTGTGGGTTAGGAAACACAGGGAGCCTCATTCTACACTTTCCTGAAAACACGGCATTGGTTTTAATTATAAAGAAATCAAACAAATTATCATGAACAATATGATAAACATAAAATTTTAAAGTCATAGCTCATCTCAGTTGAAGAATTGTGGTAAATAATAGAAATGGAAAATAATGTGTTACCAAAAAAAATGAATAGTATTCACATCTCCTGGATAAGCTCCCTTTTAAAAAGACAAAGCAAAAATAAGAATACTATATAAAATTATTCAGTACAATACTCAGGATAATTTAAGGCTGAAAGTTTCTACACCTTTTTTCCATCAAAAGAAGAAAAAAGAAAACTATCACTCATCATTAATCTCCTTTATCCCATTCAATTAAAAAATATTCTACCATCAGCTAAAACCAATCTTAAAACTGAAAGATTTTCTAGCTGTCCATATGTTAGTATGATAAGATCTAAAAAATGCAAAAGGATAAAACTAGAGCCTAAAACCATAAGTAAACTCTGCCAAAAACACCCGGGAGGAGAATTCACTTCTTACATAAGCATTGGCACATGTTTTAAATATAGCTGGTCCTCCCCACTCCCACTCATTGCTAGCTAACTTTGTATGTACCTGATTTCCACATAAACTACTAACAGTCCCGTAGTTTCTCAGCATCTCCAAATCGGCGAAGAGACAGAGTCCACTCTGAATAGAAGGGCCATCTTTCAACTTAAGGAGCCAGACAGTGGAAATAAAAACTGCTACCTCTGCCATTCAGGCTCAACCGGGGTCACGACTGCAGCACCGACAGCTCATCCTTTGGGCGTGATTCAAGATTCAGAGCTGCACACTCCGTATTTTAAAACATAAAAGGACACAGTCCTCTCCTTTCCTTTCACACTAGTTTCCTGTTTCCTGTAAACTGCGATGCAAAGCCATCCATTAATCTTTGATGCCTTCACACTGCAAAGCCCCCTTCCTCGTCCCTGCATCTCCTCCCCCACCGCCACGCCTGCGGATCTCAGACGCGTTTGAACTATAGTAACCCCAACTCAGCTCGCTGCAAAGCAGGCGGCAGCGCAAGCAGCAGCAGCAGCAGCAACAGCAGCGGGGCCGCTGCCGCCGGGGGGTAGGGGATTACGTTCACAAAAACTCTGCCAGGAGAGAGGCCCGTGCCAGGGGGGCTCCCCTCCTTGTCTAGCAAAGGGTGCTGGCTCCTCCGCGCCAAACACCAGAAAGGTTCCAAAGAAAAATGCAGGGGAAGTTCTTCATCCCCGAACGGGAAGGGGTCTCGTTCCTTAAGGAAGGGCCTGGGTCTCGGGGTCCCTGGGTGGGAAAAACAGAACTGCGCGGGGGTGGGGGTGGGGGGGGTGCAGAAGGAATGGCAAGCGAGGAGGAGGAAGCGACAGGGACAAAAAGGAAGGGGTTGAGGAGTGCTCTTACTGTAAAAAAGACTCACAGACGGGATGCACAGCAAATGGTCCCCATTCGAAGAATGGCTTGGCAGGCCTTTCTGCAACCCCCAAACCACCTCGAAGCGCAAGAGAGGAGGCGGCTGTTTGGGGCTGCGTAGACCGGAGATGGGTAAGGCGAGAGGAAAGAGGGGGGCGAGCCTGGACGCAAAGTGGACAAAGACGCCAAAGAGGGAAAGTTGGAAGTAGGAACTAGAGAAAAGGAGCAACTAGGAAAGGGGCTTACAAAAGGCCTTGAAACGGGATGCTGCGGAGGCGATGGGGGAAAGCGCAGAGTGAGGGTACCTTAGGAATGACGGGGGAGGCGAGGGATGGCTCCAGGAGGGCGGGGAGGTGGGGGGCGGCCGACACGGCGCGGGAAGGGGCCCTGTGCGGGGCTCCGGGAGGGAAGGGCCGGTGAGGGGCCAGGAGGACCGCGGGAGGGGCTGGCGAGGGAGTAGGCGCCACCGATGAAGAGGGGACGCGGACACCGCCGGAGAGGAGAGAGCAGAATGGGAGAAGGGGCGCAAGCAGAGAAAGGGCAGGCGACGAATGGGGAAGGGAGGGAAGGGAAGGGAGGATGCCGGCAGCGGATGGGGGGCACCGGATGGGAAGGGGCGGCCGGTGCGGTCACCTC